GCGTAACCAAGGGTGCATAATTGTACTCCACAAAACGGAAAAGAATATACGGTTAAGAAGCAAAAAAAAATTGTGTAGAGTATGCGGATCAAGTACAGTTGTGTCAAATACCCTTTTCTTGTTTGATTTAGGTATGCATGATATATTGAAGCAATATATCGTCAATTCATCCAAGTAACGAATTGGTTTGCACCTCAGAAGTGTGTAAGTCCTATTACTCATTAGTATTATAAGTGATTAATTGGTGTAAGGAAATATTGAAGTCACTTCCTCCGTGGTCTGATGTGGCTTAACGGCTAAGCACGCGGTCTAGCATTCAGGAGGGCAGAGGTTCGAGTGAATGTGGGGCCTGCGTTTTTGTTCACTAGACCCACCTTCAATACGATGTTTGTTGCCCGTAAGTCGCGCACATATGAGAGAAAAAATGACAAGAGGACAGATTGATATATCAAAGTGCCATATTGGAAAAGTATAAGTTCTTTTTTTACATGAATATTATTACTATAGAAAAAAAAACTACAAGTTTAGTAAATTTCCATTTTACGTTATATTTAAACCAACGAATATATATATATATCAGTTATTGACATAAAATGTTTTTTTTATAACGCTAATGTTAAGTTCCAGGACTTTGTATGGGCCACTAATAATAATTGGTTTGACGTTAGCATAGTCGTGATATTCACATTGTCAGTTCAATGTTATGATTACTAAACAGTTCCCTTATAAGTTGTGTTTAAAATTAGGTATGTGGAATCAATGCGGCTGACATAGTAACCTTACAGTAACGCACTGTACTATATCTTCACGGTTATTGATTCTTAAATGTCAGAAATTAAAAAAAATCTGAATATTGCCAATAAAGATGGGTTATATGATCACACTAAAAAGCATGCTGCAGGGAAACTGGTTAAGTCATTACGTAAGTTTCCTAAACATGAAAAAAAATGATGAGAACTTTAATAAGTACTTGACCATGGTTTAATCCAAAATGTTTTGTCTAGAAAACTACTTATTAATAGTAGTATTAATCGTATCAAGCTACTAAACATATCCTCAACCGAAACTTTTTAGAAGTAGTTCATATGGTATATATGTATAGCCAGTCTACGTGAAAAATATATATAAATATATAAGAAGTACAGCCAACATAGTTAATTAACCAGAAAAAGAAATTATAAAACTCGCCTGGGTTGCTTTTTTAATTCGTTGTATTTGCCAGTGTTAGTTGTATGAGTTTGATTAAAATCCTCAGCCGTCGTTTCGGAGTACCTAGCTTATGTGTCCAGTATTTTAAAAAAATATTTAACATAACACGTATATATCAAAAGTAAAAGGTCTGGGGAGTTGTCGGTGAGGCGGGATGATGAAAAAAAATATTTTTAAGTAGATGCAGGGTGTGATTAGCTGCGTGGTTAGATTTTATCCTGCAGCCGAAACTGTCAACATCCTTGACTGACTAATTGGATGTGCCCAGCGAACCGTTTTAGTCATTTGTAAAGATTTATTATCTTCACATTTCGATTCCGTAATGGATTTGTCAGTTAAACGATCTAACAACACGTATGGTGGTTCATGATCTAGATAAGCTGGCTTTAGCCTGTCAATACTTACTGTGTCGATGTTTCCATGTTTTTCTATCACGAAATATTTAGATTTTCTTGAGACGACTTTGAAAGGACCTTCAAATGGAGGACTGAGTGGTGCTTTTATTTTGTCACATCTTATCCAGACGTGCGTGCAATTGCTTAGGTCTTTAGGTATATATACGGGGCGCGATTGTTCACGAGTATTAATCGGCTTAAGTTTAGACATGTGGTCCCGTAGTTGATCTACATAATTTTCTAAATTAAGTTTTTGACTGTTAGTATTAGGGTTAATAAATTCACCTGGTAGTCTCAGAGTTGTTCCGAAAACCAGTTCCGCAGCTGAACACTGTGCGTCAGTTTTGACAGATGTTCGTATTCCCAACATAACTAACGGTAGGAATTCTGTCCACTTATTGGGGTTTGAGTGAGATATAAGGGCGGTTTTTAGCTGACGGTGAAAACGTTCTACCATCCCATTAGCCTGAGGATGATATGCAGTGCAGCGTATCCTATTAGAGCCTAGAAGTTTAGCCAAGTTATTAAATAGTTCGGATTCGAATTGCGCTCCTCTATCCGTCGTTATTGTTATGGGTGTACCAAAAATGGTTACCCAGTTCTGCATGAAGACTTTGGCTACTGTTTCTGCTGTGATGTCCGCTATCGGGATGGCTATAGGGAATCTGGTAAATCGATCTATGCATGTAAAAAGATAATTAAAACCGTTTGAACGTGGTAAAGGACCTACCAAGTCTATATGCACATGGGCAAAACGTGCATCTGGTTGCGAGAAAACACCTATGGGTGAATTTGTGTGACGATTAATTTTTGATTGTTGACATGCTGAACATTCTCTAACCCATTTGTGTACATCCTTCTGTAAATTCGGCCATATATATCTGGCATTGATTAGTTTAGTTGAAGCTTTTGCGCCAGGATGAGACAAAGAATGAAAGTTATTATATATCAACTTTCGCATACTTTTGGGAACGAAAGGTCGCGGAATTGGTTTGGTCATGTCACAGTAGATTAGAATACCATCGACAGGTGATGGGAACTGTTTTAAATTAAGACTTGAATTGTTTGTTTTAAGCAGGTTTTGTAATTCTAGATCCTGCTCTTGTTCGTTTTTCAACGTCTCGAAGTTTACTGTGGACTGTTGTAGCACGTTCATTTCTAGCCTAGATAAAGCATCTGCCGCCTGATTGTCCTGACCTTTGACATGTCGGATATCGCTTGTGAACTGTGATATATAGTCAAGGTGTCGGACTTCTCGAGGTGAGTATTTATCTGCTCTCGCTTTTAATGCATTCGTCAGTGGTTTGTGATCCGTAAAGACTATAAATTCCCTACCTTCTAACATGTGTCGGAAGTGTTTAATGGTTAGGTAGATTCCAAGAAGTTCTCGCCCGAAGGTAGAATACCTTGTTTCGGCTGGAGCGAGTCTTTTCGAGAAGAAAGCAATTGGTTTCCAGGAGTTTTTAACCAGTTGGTTAAGGGTACCGCCTACTGCTTTATCTGAAGCATCCACCATCAAAGCAAGTGGGGAAAGAGAATTCGGATATATCAACGTAGTTGCTTGAGCCAGTTTATCTTTAAGCTGTTTAATAGCTTCGATGGCGTCAGAAGACAGTTTGAATTCTTTTGGTTTTCCTTTAAGTGAATCTGTCAAAGGTTGCATTAATTGTGCACAACCTGGTATGAATCTGCGATAAAAGTTAATTAGGCCTAGAAAACTTCTCAGTTGTGTTAGAGAACTAGGTACGGGGTATTGTTTGATGGTATCCACTTCTTTTTTGATAGGTTTAATCCCCTCTGGGCTTATTGTGTGACCGAGAAATTCTAAATTTTGAACACCGAAAACACACTTACTTTGATGTATGTTTATTCCATGTTCATCCAGTCTTTTCAACACTGCTTGTACATGCTGTTCGTGTGATTGCAAATCGGGGCTGGCAATTAACAAGTCGTCTATATACCCCTGCGCAAATGGCATATCTCGAAGTAGGTTATCTATGAATCTTTGAAATGTCTGTGCCGCATTTCTCAGGCCGAATGGCATGCGTACAAACTCGAATAAGCCAAAGGGTGTAGTAATAGCTGTTTTGGGAATATCTTCATCAGCCACGGGATATTGTGATATGCCCTGACTAAGTCAATTTTAGTGAATATGTTCATACCCTGTAAACCGTTGGTGAAATCTTGGATATGAGGTATTGGGTACCTATCTGGTACGGTTTGACGGTTTAGGGCTCTGTAATCCCCGCACGGTCGCCAGTCACCTTCATTCTTCTTTGGGACCATATGCAAAGGGGATGCCCATTGACTATCAGAGGGACGGATAATACCCAATTGTAGCATATAATCAAACTCGGTCCTAGCGATTTTGAGCTTATCTGGTGCTAGTCTCCTGGGTTTTGCAAACACCGGTGCACCTTCGGTTTTGATAGTGTGACTCACTTTTAGTTTGTCTTTGGAAGGCTGTGGGTTTGGTTTAGTTAAGTTTGGAAATTCCGCGAGTATATCTTGGAATTTCGCTGTTGTTACTGGAGGGGTTTGAATCAAGTTAAGAGAGCTGATGTGACTTTCTTTGCCTTTTGTGTAATACGAAGTTTCTTTTAGTGTTAATCGCCGTTTCTTGGTGTCAACTAGAAATTCGTATCTCTCTAGAAAGTCCATCCCCAGTATTGCCAGATCTAAGTCGGCTACCGTGAAAACCCAAGGGAATTGCCTCCTGAACCCCAAATCTAGGGTTAAAGTTTTCTGCCCAAATGTCGCAATATTAGTTTTATTTGCAGCTTGAAGTGTAATTGATGATGTTTCTCGACTAATCTCAGTTTTATTTTGAGGGATGATGCTAAGAGCAGCGCCAGTATCCACCAAGAAATTCAAGCCCGAGTTTCTGTCTCTAACATAAAACAAGCGACTGTTTAGGCGCCCCTCCTCAGTCGTCGCGACCTGGGGAGGGGTTACTCGTTTCCCGCTGACTTAGAATTATGCTTCGGCCAGGCGCATGGTTGCATGCACGTGGTTGAGTTGACACCAAACTTCCAGTGGTACCAACAAAACTGCCCAGATTGTCTGGACATTTGTGACCTGTTTTGTGACTTGGATCGTGGTCGTTGTGGTGACCTGCTCCTGTTTCTATGACCCATTTGCATTCTGGTGACAGCCTCAGTGAGACTCTTAACACTCGCAATGAGTCCTTCTATTACGGGGTCTTTTGCTGATTCTACTTTTTGTGTGTGATTTATTATGCCTGATCCAGTTGGAGGACCTCTTTCCATTATTCTGTCGGCTATACGCGCTAATTGAGATAATGAGGTTTCAGGATCCTGTGCATCCAAACAATGTTGGACGTAGCATGGGAGAGCTTGTATCCATCCTTGTTTTAGGACTGCTTCACCCACTGTGTTATCACCCACTAAGACTTGGAGGTGACGTAAAAACTGTGACGGCGACCGATCACCTAGTGTTTCACCTTGAAAAAGTCTTTGGATTCTTTGACTATCTGATAATGATAAACGGTTCATTATCTCTCGTCTTAAGATGGTGTATGGTTGTGGTGATGGTGGACTCAAAATCAAGTCACGGACTTCTTTGGCGACTGAAGGAGGAAGGATAGAACACAAGTCTCTATAGCGAATCCCTTCAGATTTGATATTATGTCTCGTGAAATAATGCTCTAGTTGAGCAAACCACAACTCAGGATCACTACGATCAAATTCTGGAAGTCGGGATTTCGTAGTCATAACAGTGTCTATCTCCACTGGTGACAAATCCTCCAGATTATGGGTTTCTATTGAGTCTGACATGAGGTATGTGACAAATATAGCAATAAAGTTAGCACAAAAAGTGGTTACTATAACACGAATAACTTAAGATAATACGGAATAAACTAGTTATATACTCAAATTAGTTTACGGATAATCAGGTCTACTTTTACGATTAAGTAAAAAAAATATTAATAACAGAAATGAGGTTAAATTTGTGTTCAAAAAGGGCTCACCAGTTTCGTGCCTTAAAGTAGCCCTCGTGCTATTGATAGAAGAAACCAGAGAAGTAGTGAATAGGTCTTTATTTCGATCTTAGCGCGGTGACAGTGGAGCGTCCGATTCCCTGTTCAGACAAACAAAGGCTCTCAACATTCAATATAAGATAATAGGGAATATAACGCTTATACAAAACAAGGAAGTGAATGAATACTTGAACAGTACTGTTTTGGCATATGCTTGGTTGTTTGGGGTCAACTCTTAACCAACCAACCTAGGCTGTTACAAACCTATGTTTTCTCAGATGACCCATACACACTATGTTCACGCAGAAAGTAGATTGTTGAAGGATGTGAGATATAAATACTTGTTCGTAGTGTTTCGTTGCACGTTTGGTCGTAAACGTAAATCAGAAGGTCTGAATGTGAATAAAAAACCGTGAGGACTCTAACTAATGTGTTACATTTAAGGTCTAGATTTTTAAATTGCCAATCGATTTTTCGCGTAAGATTGGAGGGTCAACAATACGTTATAAAATCTTACAACATGTCTCACAACCATCGGTGTACTAGTTCGTGGATGGTTTGTGATCCGTTGAGTAAACGATTGTCATCAGAAGAAAAAGAAAACTTGAAACCAGTTATATTGCACTGTCAGTCGACGGACGAAGTTATCGAAAGTATTAAGGAAAGAACAGGTAAGCAGGTGACCGCTGCTGATGTAAAAAATATGAAAGCTGAACTCTCCACTGGTAAGTGTATATAAATATATTTCAGGTTGGACTGGGAAGCAGGTATTGCAGATGATGCGACAAAACGGTGAAGTTAGAGAGCATGCAGAAAATGGATGTATTACGGCGATATGCTTCAGCAGTTATGATCAGATACGGCTGTACAGTCAATATCCCGAAGTCGTGTGTATTGATTCTACTTATAAAACTAATAATAAAAAGTGAATATGATTTTCGTTTTGTTCTACTATGTAGATATTCATTATTCCAGTTAGTGGTGACAGACAATTGGGGCCGAGGTCGAACTGTTATGTTTGCATGGACACAAAAAGAAAAGCGTGCCGATGTTACGTGGGTTTTGGATAAATTCAAGGAGATAATGGGTAACACGACCAAAACAGAAACATTTGTGATGGATTTCGCACGATCTGAAAGCGCGGCTGTCCGTATAACGCACGGGCATGCAAACATTATTTTGTGCGCCTTTCATTACGAAGTGGATGTAAGTATTTGTGAATGCAATTGTAGCACGTTTAATATGTGTCGATATCCGTGCCGCCATCTCCTGCTGGCATATATTAAAAGACGAAGTCTAACAGGTAAGCTATTTAAATTATAAAATATAAACTGCATAGCTCATCAACTTCTTAGGTGTTGCTGCAGATGGAAATTAGACAATACGCACAATTTACAAAACAACACAGGAATTTCATTACCGAGACGGAGTAAAGAATATATACAACTTCAACGGCTCCAAAGAATGTGCAAACAACAAATTGTTGAGGAATATGGTGAACGCTTCGCGAATCAGGTGGAGAGAAAAGTCTACAATTTTTACTTAAGAATTATAAACAGCTAGACAGCAGGTTTACGATTAACAGTTCTTTGTGGCTATTTATACAACTTGTAAACTTATCTTTCCACTTTAGTAGTCATGAAAAATCAATAAACTTTTTCTCATTTTTTATTTTCGTCTTCTTCATACTTTCATGGGGAGGTTTACCAATCGCTTTAACGAATAATTGTGTGTGAAAATTAAGAATTTGTACTACTGTATTAGTTACGAACTGTCGTTAGAACTTAGTGTTATATCGTTGTTCATTGTGAGGAATCAACGAGTCAAATAAAACAATAATGCGACTTCCACGTAAAACCTTACAGACTAAACCGCCTTACATATTTTCCGTTGTCAGATTACGTCCATTATCAAGTTAGTATTAGTATGGAACTAGACAATTTCATACAGCTAGTTCCTTGATAAGATGGATTACGTAATCCTTAGACCATCTTTCCACTCACACTTCTTTGCTAAATTATGTTAACTCTTCAGATTGTCTTCACTTATCTTATTAGTTCTTAATTCACTGATTTATTCATTACATCTAGAATTATCACACAATTTATCTTATATGCTTCTGAGCTTCACTCGACTATTACACCACCCATCCTTTATGTTCCCTTAAGTCTAACACCAAATGACCTTTGACCTGTTCAAGCATATACATATGTATAGTTATTATTGATAACCTAGGTCATCCCAATTCTTTGCTTTCTATTATCTTTCATACTATTTCTTCCCTCAATCTTAAATTATAATGCATATTCAGTTGTATGCAACTTATGAGAAACCACGAAATGTAATGCAGTCACATGATTCTGCGTCAATATTTGTTTTGGCTTTATTTAGACCATAATTATACAAACTTACAGGATTTATAATATAAAACACTGCGTATGGTTGTTATATTTATATTTAAATAATTCATTAGATGAATGAGCATAGCAGTAGGTAATATAAAACAGTTATCGTAAACTTGTAAACCGGTTTTCCACACGATCTTCCGTAATCCTAAATTCCATAAGCTTCATACTATTCTGAAAAACAACAAATCCGTTTTGAGACAAACAATTAAACTTTGTTCTCAGTATCATATTCAATAAGTTATTCAAATAGCAAGTAACAGACTGTGCCTATAAGTCTTTTATTAACAAGTAGTGACATTCATTCATAACTCCCTAAGTAACACAACAACTGTATTACCGAGACGGAGTGAAGAGTATATAATAACTCATTTGTGAACCCTATAACAGACACCTCACAAATCAGTATTAACTAAAATACATGGTTGTGTCACCATTCATTCATTTTTTTTTTTTTTTTTTTGTCATGAAGATTTTGTTCCTACTTGATGTGGTGTTATACACTATTACTGCAGACGTTCAGAAAGCCGCTGGACAACACTATAAACGTCAATTGTTACTCACATATTTCTTTTCTCAGATACGTTACATAATTATGTCACTTCAGTACAAAACAATGGTACCTCTAATAAATATAACTTTTTATGGCTAAATACAAGCAAGTTATATAATATTCACAATTAGGTTAACGCTTGATTGCTTCTACTTACATTTTATAAACAACTACCGACATCCATGTTCACCGTCACCGCAATCAAGGAGGTGAACCATATGTAAAAGGTTTTACGGTTCATTTTCATGAAAACTCAATCTGTGGTGTATTTTTTGACTAGAAAAACGGTGAACTTTACTTGCTTGAGTTTGTATTGTTACAAATAACTATATTAAGCTAACTTCAGATTTACTTACGTGGTGAGCAAGAAATACGTCAAACTGCCAATAAATTGGAATAAAACTATGTTACAAGCACTAGCAATACAGAAATTGATGTGTCATGCAAAAAAGCCTGTTAATAGCTGATAAATAACGACACAAAAAATCCACGACAATATGTAACGTGTGCGCGAAAATCCCTGGCTTACCCGCTAGTCCGTGCCACCAGTTGTTTATTTTGAAAGTTAAAATTCGCGGGACATGTGTCGAAGGGAGAGTTAGTTCACAAAACAGTCTTATGAGTCATCCTGTAGGTTCAGTGCATGCAGAGCTTGCTCTTCTTCTAAAGCATTTATTCTTGGTTGTCCTGCAATAGGAAGAAAACAGAATCTATTAACAACATCATACATGATGATTTTAACCCAGTTAAACTACCTCCTATTGAAAATTACCGAATACATGAAACTGTACTAAAACAATTGGAAGTGAACCCAAAAAATCAGTTGGTTTATGCAAGTTCGTGACAATGATATTAGTAATGCACAATTTAGATCTTTTAATGCACTGTCATTTTTGTTCTGTCAGATATTGTAAATACCTCGTATTTCGTAACCCAAGCACATTGTCGACTTTTTCGACGTTAGATGGATTATGTGTATATTTTAGCACCTATTGGGCTAGGTGTTATTTTAACTTTGTGCAGCACTGGATATTGCATTTATATTCATTACTCTAAACGCAGGCTCGTTGAGCGCATCAAAAAGGAGATGCTTGCAAAAATAATCAATGGTCCAGATGCTATTGTTTACAGCACTCACTGGCGTAGTAATATAAAAACGGGCAAAACAAACTCTGTTGTGAGTTGCCCTAAACCTCCAGGTCGTGTGGTCGGTATTGGAGGATCTCAAGTAGACATATACTCTCATCCTATACAATCGCGGACTGATGTCTTTGTCCAGAAAGTTGGGAGTGAGGTGTTTAGTTCGTTGACCAATGAAAGGTGAGTTAATATGTTGTATGATATAAATGCATTTTATCGTTTCAAGGAATATTTTGAAGTTTGTATGATAGAAACAGTCGATAGCATTAAAAAACGTGCAAGTTAGCTTTCTTGACATGTGCTTGTCAGAGATACCTGACCCTTATAATTTTTCTGTTCAGAATATAACTTGAACTTTCTTCCAAGGGGCACACATCTAGATTTTATATTCTTTTGTTCTTATCGAACTGAAAGTCAAATACACGTTGTTGAAATGTTATTGATGTTTACATCTCCAACTAGAATATGTTGGTAAGTTCGACTTCACCAGTTTGCCTAAATTGCCTTATAAATTTCTTTATTGCCGAAATTTGAGAGAAAAAGCTGACTGTCGAGTGAATGCAGGATGATTTTTATCAGTCAGTGAAGGCTAATAGTAAGTAGATGTCACTGTGTTAAATGCATCATTCAGAGAAACTTGATAGTAAAAACCTAGAGCGATGTATCGCTGATTCAGTACGACTATTACTCAAATTCTCTTGCTTATGCATAATGACTGGTTGTGTTAAATCGAGTGGATGATAAACCAGACAATTATATTAAGTATTTATCTAACAGGAAAATTCAGGAATCACATATATACTAGATCAAAGCTTTTAAATATTACGTTTACTTTTAGTTTATTTTTTGTGTAGAAAGAGGGTAAATGTTTTAACACCTGTTATTGAACATAAGAGGCACTTTTATGTAAATTTATCTGTTGATTACTGAAGTGTGCGAGGTATGTTTTCGACGAATGTGAACTCAGTATTACAGATCGCGTTGTTTTCATTCATGATTTCATCATGTTAAGGTTAACAATTCCATAAAGATTTGAGTCAAGCCTTGACTTTTTGCCGAAGGTTGATTTTATCTTTTCTGATATAAATAAGCACTTCCATTATAGAGATTCATATATATCTTGGGGTCCGAGTTTTCGTGCATACCATTTATGTGACATAGCGCTTAACACATGAACAAAATATAGCTAGCTGCTTTACCTAACTTTAAAGAGAAACAAAATTTTACGTGGATATAGATAAAGATGATTCAGATTTATAGATTTGTTAACTGGGATCTTATGTCTTATTAACATTTTAGTATATTGTAAGCATCCCATGTTTTGTTAGACATAAATATTGAGTTACTGAAATGATATGAAGATTGGGTTAAAAATCAAGTTATATTAAGTCGTTGTCATCATCTGATCGATGAGAAATGAAAGAAAAGTACATATTTCACCTCTTAAAAGGCCTTTTATAGCTGGTAGCGATATAGGCATTTTGAAAGTCATAACGTGTTCTAAAAGCAGTGTTCAGTATGTATTTAGGTGTAAATGCTGGCAAAACAGTTACATTTTATATGGTTATCTCAAAATTAAACTGAGCTACAGTACTAACAGAATTTAAACAAACCCAGTTATAAACATGAGTGCTAAGACAAAGCTGGTGTTTGGAAAAAATGAGGATATAGATCTCGGATGAATAATATAATTAAAAGACAAAATAGTCTTGAATATAAGTAACGCAAACACCCTATACCACATAGATACGTGAAAATGTGTGAGCATTGATTTGTATTCATTTTTGAGATTATTTTGCTTTGTAGACCATTGCACTTACATCTTAGTAGCCCGTGTTTCAAATATGTATATATTTATTCGGTTTTATTAATGGTCGTAAGATCTCATCCAAGGTTAAATTTAATAGTTTAATTTTCAGATGTTTCTTACGATCCACTCCAAACTTCTTTATCAAATTCTAAAACCATCTATCCCTTTAGGCCGCAGGTTTTGAACGTACCTTATAGTGATTATAAACATACCACACATTATGGCTCACCAAAGACCAAAAATTACACCACAAGTATGCCAAGTCACAGAGCCGTGGAATCAGATGGTATATACGTGAACTGTCCATTTAAACCATCTCAAAAACCTGAGTCCAGCAAACATTATAACACGAGATACCAGTAAGTTGACGTGAATTAAAGATGGAAAATTGACATCAAATTCACGGTTCAATGTTTCAGAGGGTAAGCTAAAGAAAATAATTTTTCATAACGTTACTGCTTATTTATTGGATGGTGTGAAACAGAATTGATGTAACTTTGCGTCTTGTCATATTTAAAGAGTTAGGCTTTCTAAATTAAACTGACATAAAACGTTTACCTATTACACCTACCAACCGCTTTTTATTCAGTTTACGACAAAAAGTGACAAAACAGAATTTAGACAACTCTCGAATCAGCAAGCATCTTCCTAAACCAATAAAATTAACGTCAGAATTGACTGCGAAACTATCCATAAGAAACTAAACTTGACAAATATTTGACAGAGCACAATACGCAGGATGAGTTTGCTTAATGGCTTATTCTTTGCATAGTTAAAGGTTTGTGTGGAAAGTTCTACTGATCTAAAATCGTTTTTAGATCAGTCATTGCATAAATGTATCATTTATACTCATCAAAGGTAAAATTGATCGGTATCTTATCCCAAGGTTTTATTGCACACAGAAGCGTTTAAAAAATTGAGTTATACTAATTTTGTTTCACGAGACAAAATAAAGCACTTAATTAGAACAATTGACATTAGAATTCATCCCTATCACTTATGAAAGTTTGGGGCTTCAATTGGCTGAATTGTTTCTTCCATGACATCCAAAAACAGAGGTTTAAACATAGCTTTAACGAAGAAAGATCTACTTTAATAAATTCAATACATTCAGAAAATGGTTGTGCAGCTACTCTCTCTGTACTATGATCATCCAAATAATATAAAATTTACCTTTCAGCTTGTTATCTTTATTGTTATGCAGCTGTTTCCAATAATTAAGAAGTTGCTTGTCCAAAAAATCATATACATATTCTCGATTTTCATTCTCATTTAATCAACCTTATCAATCAACATATCAACCCTTCCTTTTTGCCTTTATCTCCTCTTATTATTATTGCTATTTGATAGATCAAACTATGAACTGATCTTAGCTATAACATTATTAAATTCTAAGAGGAGTTAGAAAGCTGTTTCGTCCTGTCATGAGACTGGATGATAGTGCTCGTCGACGACCCCAATAAAGGGGGTCAAACTTAGGACCTTCAGTCTCGCGCACAAATGTTAAACCAGTAGACCATTAAGCTGGCAGTCTTTGATACACCTGACCGACTTCAACCAATTCATGATACTGAGCAACCATACCCTAAAGTTAGGCTTAATACTACAATTTGATTTGTATTTTTCGAATGTAAGATTATACATTCATGTCAAGGTATGATGAAGAGCCAAAACTTCAAAAGATGTTTTTGACGTTCGACCTATATTTTTAAGAATACTTTTTTATTTAATAAGATGCTTTGGAGTGTCAAGTTTATCATCGAAAAATGTTCGTAAGGAAGTCCATGTAAAAAAGTATGCTGCAAAGTATACTTAAGTAATGTTTCATTATTTTGTTAAACGGGAAAGTATTGTTTCAAGAATATCGAAAAAACAAACGGGATATTCTCAGATATATGCAGTACACTTAAAAACCTTATTACCTGTTTTTGGATGTTCATTTCGTCAGCTGCGTGTTTTAGTCGTGAAATTGCCATTGCCTTTCTAAACAGAGTCATTGATTTATGTTGATTAAATCATTCAAATTAGATAATGAAACTTCATCAAATTCATATGCTTGAACAACAAATTTCCTTTACCTGTCCACTACCTTATTTGATTTGATTAATCTTAAGATAGATGATTTTGGTCTTTGATGGATTAAAATTTAGCTTGTAAGCTACTCTTAAAATGTTGTTACTTACTTACTTGCTCACGCAAGTTACTTCTCATGGAGGAGCATAGGCTGCTCACCAGCACTTGCCATCCAACCCTGTCCTGGGCAATCCTTTCCAGCTCTTTCCAGTCGTTACTCATCCTTTTCATATCTGATTCTATTTCCCGACGTAATGTGTTCTTTGACCTTCCTTTTTTCCACTTCCCTTCAGGATTCCACATTAGGGCTTGCCTCGTGATGTAGTTTGATGATTTGCGTAATGTTGTTAATACAGTATTTAAATTACTGACTAAAAGCTTCATCTATGTAAGCTCATTCAAATATTTATTACATACATAAGTTGTATTACATTACAAAACACTTTTATTTATATGAAATCTGTTGAAATAATACGGATTTATATATTGGCTGGACTGTTAATAAAGTTTACAGTTCAAGGAGTTTGATTGAATCTTTCTGGTGATATCAAACATTTCTGTCGATCAGTCTATTTTAGTATATGTATGTCTTGAGTGAATTAATTCAATATTACCATTGAACTACAAGCTTTTCTATTCAAAGTTGAATAATGATTAGTAGTGGAATGCGGAAATCTCGTATCGTTTCTTCTTACAAGCTACTAATTCTCTGAAATCAGTGGCTAATTAGTTAGTGAGTTAGCCATTTGAATCGAAACGTACAGGATTAGAGTACCAGTGCGAACATTATCACGATTACAGACAAATCCAACTGACAAGTTTCAGATAGAATGCAACGTTTGTCCTAGATTTTACTTCTAGCCACTAACTAACTTTATTTGTTAAATTAATCACAACTCGTTTCTCACAATTTTAAATAATACTAAACAAACATCCAAGATGTATGAAATTAATGAAATTCCATAGTAATGTTGTTCGGAATAGATAATTTGCAAGAATATGTAGTCACTTTAAATGCATTGCAGTATTTATGGTTATTAATCATAGCTGAATTTTAACGAAATATCCACTTACTTGAGCTGTTAGCATATATTTAATGTTGGTTAAGAAGAGCCAAATCTACAAATTTATAACTTAAAACTTTACAGTAAATATGCCTAATTAACTACCATAAACGTTAAACATGAACTTTTCGATTTAATGATTCAATATGTTTTTTAACTGATATGACTTATTCATTTTTATATTGGTTGTTTGAATCTTCCAAATGATGTTTAAGACTGCAATTGATCAGTCTCTTATTGGCATATGTGCATCCTGTGCGGATTGCTTCAATATGGACTTCAGTCACAAGCATTACAAGCAAAGATGGATGGTGGCTAACATTGGAATACAGGACGCGTGTTTAGTCCTATTTTTGGGACTCATCATATGAATGTGTCTGCATTCCAGAGTTGATGTTCACAGTAGATAAGTGAATAACGCGGTGGTGTTTGGAGCGAACACTAATGAGTTCATGTCCCGGAGGGGATATCAACTTTGAAATATAGGTACATCCAGTGGACAAATCCCAAAAATAGGACAAAACAAGCGTCATCGATTCTACTGTTAGCCACCATCCACCTCTGCTTTTAATAGTAGCACAACTCATTCACCAAGTACATATTTTTTTCAATCCATAATTAAACGATATTTTGATTGTAAGGCCAATCACTGATTCACGATAACAATGAGTTTTTCCCACTTTTTTTAATAATCATTATAAACCTCTTATTACGCAACAACTATTTAACCTTACCTAAAGACTCATAGAACGTTTGCACATGTCACTTTTAGAAACTAGCCTTAAAACATATCTCTTTAGCTAATTAAATAAATTACAATCCACTAGCCTGAATTTTTATAAATTAAGTCTCTTACTCATTCGAAAACTGTCAAAATAGTTTAGAGATTGATAGAGATTATAAGATGATTGGGTAGTGTAAACTGTCTCTTTAAGTCGTCCTGATTTCGATGGAAGCTATTTTCAAAGCCAATCCATCAAAAGCTACATAAATGTTCGAATGTAAAATTTGTAAACAAAAAATCTAATTACATGCATATATCTATGAAATTTCAATGGTAGAAAAATATATCAGGTAATAAGTATGGTGGTGATAGTTCGAAAGCCACACACCACCTAATTCTATTTGATTGACCTAATATTATCAATAATCTTCAAGCAAAAATATTTCTTATTACATAACTAACTACACTAACCTGAGCTGAATTATAGAGTTGGCTGTTTCTTTTTGTTGTTGTTGTTGTGCGAATACCCTCGGTATAGTAAAATCTTTCTTTGAAAAAACACATAAGAAACTAATCATTTTTGTTTGTTTTTCATTTGTTTATAATTTTAAATTTTTCAGGTCGTCTTCATTGTTATTCATATTTCTTTATTTATGTATGAATCAACTGTTCATTTTTCCAATACAATAACTAATGCATTGAATAACAAAGTTGGACAAGCCTTTTTTTTAAAAGATTGAAATAGGTATATATGAATGCATTTCATTTAATAAAATTGCTTTGAATTGTATATATTACACATGAGAATTATGGGTGAAACTATAATTTAATGGATGAACCAATCAGAAATAATATAAAAGGTGTCGGATTTTGAAGTGAAATTCACTCATCCATTTGGCTAAATAGTGTCTTGGCATTATAGCTGATGTCAATTCGTGATGAAACACCCAAAAATCTAATTCCTAACCTTTAATCATCAATTGTAAATTCATACAGGTTTATAACCTTCATTTGATCCTAGTTATTAGGTGAATACTCTCAAGGTCACTTGAGCGTCTCTCAAAGGTCGTCCATAAATTATAATCTCATTGAATTATGCTAATAAAATTAATTTATCAGTTGATTATTCAATATTTCCTTTTGTTTTATAATGTGCACATTTTGGAAAAAAAAATTGTTTTTTTGTTTTTTGCTTTGATTGCATTTTTCAATTGTTTACATTTGATGAATCCATTTTGCATTACTTTTCACATAAACATACATAAACATTCTTACTTGTTATGCATTTCTAGTTGTTGTTGTTGTTGTTGTTGTTGTTGTTGTTGGTGGTGGTGGTGGTTAGTTCCACTTAATGATTTTAATTTATAATATTTATATTTATTTATTTTTATTTATTTATTTTTTATTTTCCTCTGTTGGTGTATAAAATGGGATAAGTAAATTTTGTTTTTAATCACTAAGCCTAAATTGATAAAAACAACAAATTACTGATTATGTAATTA